GAGGATGCTCCAAGCAGTTGCTTTACAGGCAAAACCACCCAAAGCAACAACACTGGCTCACAGCACAGCATCTGGCATCGGGGTGGAAATGCCCGTGTTAGAAAACCGGGCAATTAGAGGTTCCAAGAAGCAGTTACACAAGCTGGAGGATTTCCTCGGAGCTGTTCTGAGTCAGGATGAGGGTGAGAGGAGAGGCATGGGAGGAAGAAATTCACAAGCCACTTCCGGCTGCCGGGTTAAGCTGGCGTTCCCGGGGTGTCCACTGGCAAGAGCAGGGACGTTCACACGCGCTTCTCTCTCACTGAACCCACCCAGGAATGCTGGGAGGTGGGAGGGTCACCTTAGGGAAGTGCCATCGCTAGACCCTGGATACGGAAAGGAGACACCTAGCCCCACCCTCCCCTCCGTACACACAAGGCAGGGTCAGGTAGCATTTAAAGCCCATCTTCATCATTTAATCCCTCAGTTTCTTCAGGTACAAATGGATGCTAATAATAGGGCCTTTCTGATAAGGCTGATGGAAGGTGAAACGAGTCAGCACGATGCACAGTGCTTAGAATCGTGCCAATTGTTGCTAGTCACTGTTACACTACGTCTTTGGCACAGGGGTGCCCGCTGTGATTGGCAGTGGGGGTATCTCAGGATGGACAAGGAAAGAAGGCACATCCTTATCCGTCCAAACAGAAAAGGAGACTGGGCCAGAAAAGTCTAGCATGAGCCAGGGTTTCCGACAGCTTCATGTGGCCATGACCATGTGGCTGAGCCAGGCCGATTCCCCAAAACACGATACGCCTGCAGTTGTTACTTTACCCACCTAACCAACAGGCGTGTGTTTATCTTCCTGTCTCTGCAGAGAGAAGATTCTCACTGGAGGAAAAAAAAATACCAACAAACCACCACCAACAACAACTCATGTGCCAGGCATATTGACAGACCCTTTTACAGAAAACAAACCCCCCTAACTCCTCATCAAGGGCTCTTCAGCCTGTTTCTAAACACTCAGAGGAAGGCCAGGCTGACATTTTGCACGACTGACCGAGACAGCTCTGCTTGCCTCTGGGGTGTGTGTGTGTGTGTGTGTGTGTGTGCGCGCGCGCGTGCACGCCTGCATCTGACCGTGTGCATGCTCACCTGGTGTGTGTAGCTCAGCCTAAGCAAAGGTTCAGACTGGTGTATGTGCAAATAATGAACTGGTGGGAACAGAAGCTCACCTCCTGGGGCTCACGTGCAGAGACCGGTTTGCACAGGGCCAGAGAAGATGCAAAGACAGGATGAAGGGGACAGCCTGGTGTCCACTCCTCTGACCCCGGTGATTGGTTCAGGCGTAGAAACATTGACCACAACCCACGTGAACCTCAGTTTTCCCATCTCTACACTGGGGCCGTAGGACCCGCCCCTTAGAAATGGGGTAGAGATTAATTAGATGGGATCCTGTACGTGGCACACGTGGTGCTGGGAGGTCACATTAGCGTCAGCCTCCCTCCTGCCTGCCCGCCAACTCGAGTCCCGGCCTCCCCAGCCAGGCGAGCCTCACTTGGATCTAAATTATAAACTCAGAGCCATCCTTTAGCTCTGAGGCTGGCAGGGGCCTGCCATCCAGCCTGTCAGCCTTAAGCTGCCACACTTCCGAACATACAAACTGAAAAATTAATGTCCCTGGAAGGCACTGTCTCTCTTCCCATGGAAACCACTGACCTTCTTGCCTGTCTGCACAGCAGCGGGACTGCAGTCCGGCTCTTCTCCATCCTGGTGCAGCCACAGGGCTGCCGGGCAGACGGGAGAGGGAAGAGAGGCCAAAGTCCTCTTTCAGGGCAGTGGCAGGACCTGGTGTCTCGCCGGGGATCTCATTAACTCGGTGTGGGGACATGAGGGAGAGTCTGGGGTGATGGAGAAGGCCCAGGGGATCCCTGCATTTTAGTGTTAGACCCCATGACCCATCCCGATGGGCCCTCAGAAGGCTGGCCCCCGATGGGGGCCCAGGCATGAGTCATGGGCTAGGCAGAAAGGGGCTGGAGAGGTGTTCAGGGTGAGGAAAAGGAGAGCGCTGTTAGACCAGGACCATCATCTCACAGATCCTCGGGAGCCGCAGTCTCGCCTGGCCTTCCGTGAAACGAGCAGGCAGTTTCACTGTGCTTCTATGCAGTGCATGGTACTCACAGCGTCTTCTGACAATGACTGATCCCTCAGCCTGGACCGTTCCCAGGGACCTAGACTCACCATCCGCTCCCCTCCTCCTTGTGGGCTAAGACCAGCGTTGTAACTGGTGGTCCACAATGTGGCTGGCAGACCGGTAGTATCAGCATCATCTGGGGGCTTGTGAGAAATGCAGACCCTCAGGCCCTGCCCCAGACCTACAGAACCCGCAGTTCAACAGGTGACTGCCATGCACACTGGAGTTTAAGCTGGGTGGATGGCTAACTTTATGTGTCAACTTGACTGCTGCACGGGGTGCCCAGATGGTTAGTGGAACACGATTTCTCTGTATGTCTGTGACGATGTTTCTGGACGAGATTAGCATTTGAACTGGTGGCTGGAGTAAGGCAGGTGGCCCTCCCCTGTGCGGGTGGCATCGTCCAATCCTTGGAGGGTCTGAAGAGAACAGAAAAGGCGGAGGAAGGTTGAATTTACTTTCTGCCCAACTGCTGATCTGGGACATCAATCTTCTGCCCTTGGCACTCCTGGTTGTGAGGCCGTTAGACTTGGACTGGAATCTCCACCATCAGCTCCCTGCCTCTCAAATCTTTGAACTACATCTCCCAGGTCTCCAGCTTACAGATGGTAGAACGTGGAAATTCTCAGCCTCCGCAATCAGGTGAGCCAACACCTTATAATAAATCTTTGTTGAGAGAAAGGTGTCTAGCTTTTGCTTTTCCATAGGTAGCTTTCTTTTCATTTTTTAAATTGAAGTCTAGTCAGTTTACCATGTTGTGTCAATTTCTGGTGTACAGCATAATGTTTCCGTCATACATATGTATACAAATACTTCTTTTCATATTTTTTTCCATTCTAAATTGCAAGATATTGAATGGAGTTCCCTGTGCTGTACAGTAGAAACTTGTTGTTTATCTACTGTATGTACAGTAGTTAGTATCTACAAATCTTGAACTCCCAATTTATCCCTTCCTACCCTTTTCTCCCCTGGTAACCATGAGCTTGTTTTCTATGTCTGTGAGTCTGTTTCTATTTTGTAAATAAGTTCATTTTTGTCTTTTTTTAGATTCCACAGA